TTTTCCTATGAAGGTATTTTTGGGTTTTTGGAATTTTAAAAAAAAAAAAAAAAAAAAAAAAAAAAAAGACATACATGTGTTACAAAATCATGGATTAAAAATACTAGATCCCAGCTCCCAACAGCAAAGAGACATGAAGGTGTCGTTTGTGTATGAGAGAAAATGCTAAAGAAAAACAGAGACTGCAGCATTCAAAATATAAATTTCATAGCATTTAAGTATAGTACAGTCATTGCCATGTGAGATAGGATAATTGTCAATGAATACCACGTGAAACTCCTTTTTATATATTTAAAGTTTAGGGCTTAAGTAACTGGGAAGTGGTTGCCGAGAGGCTCTCACTTAGATGACTTTGACTATTCTGTATCTTCTGAAAATCCTTTGTCTGCACAAAATGCGTTTTTTTTTTTATTATTTGTGTGCCATGCAGACTTAATAGATATAGATGCAGATAACAGACTTAATTCTTACAACCGTATTCCAGAACTCAAATAGAAAAGAGCAATAAAGTTTGCAAATAAAAAGTTTAATTCCTCTCACAAGATGTTAATGATCATGCCAGCATGTGCGGTACATCTCTTGGCTAGAAGCTCTTTGGGCTCTTATACATATCTAGATTAATGTTTTATTATAATAGTTATTAAGTTTCATAAGCACAGGGTTTGTAAAGCTGGTTCTGATTTTGTTTGTGTAAAAGGAGCTTTACTGTTGAGCCATTTAGAATATGATTTTAACATGTCTGCATTTGGAAATTGATCCTGAAGTATTTTAACCAATAAAAGAATAACATTGCATTATATTAGGGAAGAGAAACAATATCTCATTACTATTCTTGTTGTTCTTCCTGTGTTCTTAGCACAATGTCCAGCAAATGAAGTCCGGACAGAATCATCAGGAGTGATCCTAAGTCCAGGTTACCCAGGCACCTATCCCAATTCTCAGACCTGCTCTTGGACTATAAAGGTTGAACCAGGATATAACATCTCCATCTATGTAGAAATGTTTCAAAGTGAAAAGCAGTTTGATGAACTGGAGATATTTGATGGTAAGAAAGATTTAAATTATATCTAATCACCATAGATAAAGGAAAGCTTCATTTCCAGCTGTTGATTTAAACATCACAGAAACACAGAAGTGATGGAAGGGCTGGAGGTCATCTGGTCCAATTCCTCTGCTCAGGCAGGACCACCTACAGCAGCCTGTCCAGGCCCTTGTCCAAGTGGCCTTGGTTATCTCCAGGGATAAAGATTCCATAGCATCTTGGGGCAACCTACCTTCAATGTAGAAGTTTTTCCTTATGTTCAGACAGAACTTCCTGTGTTTCAGTTTGTGTCCACTGCTCCTATCACTGGGCCCTACTGAGGAGAGTCTGGCTTTGTCTGCTTTATAGACCTTCCCTTAAGATATTTGGCAAGATTACCTCAAGAAATCTCTCTTCTAGGCTAAGTAGTCCCAGCTCTCTCAGCCTCTCCTCCTATGGCAGATGCTCAAGCCCCTTATTAATCTTCATAGCCCTTTACTAGGCTCACTGCAGTAGCTCCATCTCTCTGGTGAGCCAGCAAGCCCAAAACCGGACACCGTACTCCAGATAACAGCCTTACAAGTGTGGAGCAGATGTCACCTCCCTTGACCTGCTCTGCCTCTGTCCTGGGTGCCATGTGCCTCCTTTTTCTCAGGGGATAGGTTGAATCAAATCAATTCATCATTCACTGGTGTATCTGAAATCTACAGAATAGTCCAACATTTTTATTGTTTTTCCTTAAATCTAAATCTGTTGGTAAAAGGTTTTACAGATGTGTTCAAGGGAAGGAACCTGCTTAATTACTAGAGGAACAGCAGAAGCAAGAGCTTTCCTATGAAAATGGTGCAGTTTTTCTTTGGTATGAGTGGAAGTGTCTGAACGTGCTGTTTTGTAATAAGTCTTTTCTGGTGCAGAAATTCTCTTTTTAAACAAATACTGTTTGTATACTATTTAAAATACTCTGCAATTCATAGAATTATTTGAAGCCCAGAAGTCAACAATGAGGTATTTCACCTACTTTTCCCATAGCACAGCAGAACCAATGCTGTATCTTGCTTGAATATACCCATATTGAAGAATTGGCCATCTGCTTTGAGATGACGAGTGGGGCGGGGGGGGAACACTTTTTTGAATGGTAGTCATTCCAGCAACTTCCCAATGGACCCTATTTAATTAACAGACAATTCTTAAACTGTTTTTTTTCTTTTTTTCCTACTGAATTCTGACTTTACTGTCGCTTGTTTTATTCTCTAGATTGATGAAAATAACTGGTCCCTGGTTGCCCTTTAATATATTTTTATTCATTTGGTGGCAATTATTGTATCTTCCCTCATTTTCCAAGGATATATGATAATTGTGATATAATTGATTAATATCTGCTGTTGGGAGTTTCATAACAAAAAAATATTAATGGTCATATGGTTTAAGTGTCTTCCTCTAAGTATTTTTTGTAAGTCATAAAGTATTTTTTGTTTAATATGGGGGGGTTAGTATCTAAATTTTTTTTCACTGTTTTTAATAGCATTCTGAAGAAAACAGTATTTTGCATTGTTTTAAAAATGCAGATTTTAAAATAGTTCTTTTTTTTTTTTTAATTTATAATCCTATCTGTGTCAGTCAGTGTCAGGTTAGTAGAGGAAATAGTCTGAAAAATCTGTTAAATTTATCTTTTCCTTTACTCTATTTTTATTTAACTTCAAGACAATATGCAGTGTGCCTGCAACTTTTCTAATGGTCTGATCACTTTGTTTTCTTCTGCAAATTTCTGTTCAGACTGCTTAATGTTCCTGATGAAGACTTTATTTCTTTCTTATGCATTTAAATTTAATGAAACCAGAATATCAATAATAGATATGAGGAAAGAATGAACATAGTTACTACATTTTGAAGGGTCATTTTGTGACAGAAAACCACATTCTGACAAATTAATCTGTAGTCCAGCTCCACTGAAGGCATTTTCCCTACCACCTACCAGCAAACTAAAATGAGAATGATAATGACATATTTATAACCACTCAAAGCAGTGCCGTATGGAGATTCCTAGCCTAACTCTCATCAAGTTGATATTTAAACATGGCACAGTGCAGTGCCTTGCCGAGATACTTGTTTGCGTCCCTGTGGCCACATTAGCAACGTGCTCTGCTAGGTTAATTGGTTCTGCATCTCAGCATGATGTGTTAGTTGGGGCAGAAGGCAGTGCTGATGTGGCTTATTCTGTCTCCAACGATGGATATAGCTCAGATTAGCTCGTTCAAAGCTAGCTCAGGTATTTTTCTCTTCTCTTGCATAGCACATAAATACATATATTCTAGGGAGCTCAGAACTTAGGTGGCCCAAACCATTATAGCTTCATCTAAGTCAGGAGAACTGAACTGTTCTGCACCAGGTAAATACCTGTTTTCAAGCAAATGTTTAGACAGAAAATATTTAATGATTGATCAGGTAATTTTATAGAAACAGTATTTGCTAAAGCACACGACTTACTTAGATGACTTTACAGTGACTTTACAGTAAAGGTAGCCCAGGTGAACGGGGAACAATAATAAACCCATTAGCAATTCTCACCTGTGACTCCGACCCATAGGAAACCGATCTAGAGGCTAAGACAGAGCAGCTGTAACTGTACCATGAGTATAATTAGTAAAGAATTTTGAACTTCAAACACTGTATTCAGGCAACTTACAGTGAATGACATTCATTTAATACAGGAAGTAGTCTTTGATTTTTTTCCCCAAAAATAAAGCAACATAATTCTGTAATCACAAAGAGAGAAAAATAAATAAATAAAAGAAGCATGCACAGATAGTGTAAGATTCAGGAGAGCATCAAATGTCAAGTTAGCACACTAGCAGTTGAGTATACATATCCTTGCATAAGCAAACTCTGAAATAAAAAGAAAGTCGACCCCCCAAAATATCTAGGTTGTGCAGCAGACTGTCCTGATCAGCAGCTGAAGAACTGCCAGCTAAGTAATATCCAGTAGCTGGAACCCCCCATCAGGAAAAATAAACTAAACTAAAATGCAATTGCATACATTGACCTCCCAATGACTAGAAAATGTAATGTGGCTGTTTAACATGTGGTACTGCAGCGTAATTTCACTGTCACTAGTAACTGAAAGATGCTCACTTCTTTGTATGCGGTTTTAATTTCTCTCTAGTTGCTCTGTTATTTGCAAATTTACATATATATGTACACATTCTAAATTGGGAATTACCTTATGAATTGGGTAGATGATATTGAACACATTTTATAAAATGCAGGTAAAGCACAGAGAAACTAGATCAACTGTCATGTTCTAAACCATCCTTTTGAGCAATAACAGGAATTGACCTCAGCAGTCCTCATAGTCCATCCTAGTCTATAATCACTGACTAACTAATATGAATAACAAACCACAAAGCATTTCATTGAGGACATGCTAGGCACCCTGCAGAGCTTATTCTTATTTGTTCTTATTTTGTATATGTATTTATTACTTCAAGCTGATTTGTTAATAATTATTTAGTTGTGGTGACCGAACTACAGTTCTGAAACACTGGGAGATTCTCCTGTAGCCTCTTTTTGTCCCTGAAATATTCTGGTTAGAAAATGTACTTCCCCTTTTTGGCCTGGAGGGGGCAAAGGTACAGCAATTATATGTTGCAGTATTTATGTATCTTTAAGCCGGGGTTTCTTTTTCTTTTTTCTTTTTCTTTTTTTAATGCAACATAAGAAGAGCTGATCAGGCTGCAACTGTTCAAGCTCAGTAAAAATGAATGAAGCAACCTCTTTATTTGAAATAGCTGCTGTGGCCAAAGGAATGTTGTTTGAACTTGGCATTTCTAAACTCGAAAAACACCAAAAGACACAGCATATAAAAAGGGGGAATTTAGCTAGGGAAAAAAACAATTACATAGGGGGAAGGATGTATTTTCATGTTTTAGAAAGCCTCAATAAAAGATTCAGTTAGCTCACTGTTTTTTTTTTGGGGGGGGGATGGTATTGGAGTTTTTTGTTTGTTTGTTTTGTTTTGTTTTGTTTTATGTGAGTATGCTATTTTATTGTATGCTTAGCCCCAGAATCATTTTTTGTGTTCCTGGGGATTTACTGATGTAGTTTCAACTTACTTTGCTGTGGTGTATCAGGTTTTATTATGGTGCTGATATCACTTGAGTGCCAAAGCACTTAAAATATATATATCATCAAAACATCAATTTGATAACTATATTGAACTTATTATCTTCTAATAGGACTAGGCCCTAATATAATACATGGTGCAAGTTCATAGCACTTGTACCTATATAGTACAAGTGAAACTGTGGTTAAATCATGCTGATTTTAGCTGTATTTATCTGGCTTGTGTGATGGGGCATTATTTAGCTATTATGTTTAGTATGTAATGTAGTAGCTGTGCAGTATCAAGCAATCTAGAAATTTGCTGACACTCACTATTTGGAAAGTAGTTTAAAATATACAGCTCTGGTGAAATCTTAGAATTGGATATATAGTTTATATAGAGATATGTTAGTTATTTTACTGGTGAAAATATTACTGGTGAAATATGCTGGCTTTTATTCACATTTGTAGATAAGGCAAAATATGCAAACTATTGTTTAAACTGTTAATAGCTTATAACTTCAGTATTTATTCATCCCTAAAGGTTCTTCTGGGCAAAGCCCTTTATTAGTTGCTTTAAGTGGAAATCATACTGGACAGTTGAACTTCACAAGCAAAATGAATCAACTATATCTTCGCTGGTCAACTGATCATGCAACCAGCAAGAAGGGATTCAAGATACGTTACTCAGGTAACTGTTTTAGTTCCAGTAAAATGTAGTTCATGGTTATGCATGCTATTCACCAGCAAATTGAAATCTGTAATATGATTTCTGTTCCTTTGAAAATAATACTTTATTATAATGTACTTTCTGTGGTTGTCCAGTCCTCCTATTTCAAATTCAATATGAGTCCAGAACGTAAGCCCTCTGTTTTCTGCCAATTTGCCAAAGATCTGCATATTAATACTTCTCTCAGTAATACTTCTTTCTGCAACTTACTGTCTGGTAGACAGACCTGGACAATTCCGAACTTGGAACTTTAAATGTAGTGGGAGGGATAATCCATAGATTTACAAAATGGTAGTCTGAGGAGTAGTCAGTTCTGAGATAAGAATTTCTGATGCTGAAATGGGATGTTGTATTGTAAGTGTAATTCAGTAACCACTGTTAGGTTTAGAGTTTGCAGTAATAATTCATTTCACAGCCTTTCTTAATTCTGAGAAAATGTGAGAAAATGTCCTTCACTTTTTGTATAAGTCACTTGTGAACCTTTGTGGTAGTGATACAAAGATATATAAATAGTCTATCTAAAGTCTTAAAAATTACATCCTCTATTAAAATATTGCAAGACAAGATTATACTCTATATCCTGACATGTGACTTTTTTTTTTTTTTTTGCAGCCTGTATGGTTTAAACATATTTTCACCCACATGCCTGCTAACACTTTGCCCCTTGGAGTTTTGGCTTAGTGATCACATAGATGATGGGAGAGAATGATTTGATAATTCTCACTGTTAATATTTTTTTGTTGTTTGTTAATCAAGTCCAAACACAGAAAACAATGTTAAAATGTAGGTGAATGTTAATTTTGGTGGCTAATAATTGTAAATATTTAGTGGCTGATAATTATAAATATATGTTAAGTAGAGAAAGGAATATTTCAAGAATATTTTAGCAAGCACGAGGTTTCTTTGTTTTAGGCATTCAGGGACATTTTCGCAAACCTTCCTCCTTTCCTCTACAATCCATATGCTGGTAATTTAAACCCCAGAGAGTTTCTCATGTTACTGAACCAGAAGATTACAGCACAGCTCAGAGTGTATTCATGTTCACTCTTTTGGGAGCTTAAGAACTATGATCTTAAGAGCAATGAGTTGGTAAATACTCAGAAAAAAAGACTGTTCAGTAAAAGCTAAAAATCTCAATCCATATGGAGATTGTCAATGCAAGTAGCATAAAACTGAGAGGGCAGTGAGAAAGGAAGTTGTTATCAAACACAGAGGAGATTTTTAGCTATGAGCAGGGGAAAGGCAGTTGCAGGACCTAATGAACTGGAAGTGTGGAAGAAAGAACAGTGGGAATCTGTCCATAATAATACTCCAGTGTCTAATAGTGAAGGAACAGAGCTGGGGGACTATACATCTCTTCCAATTTTAAAGTTAGGGAGCAATATCAGGGTTGCAAAACTAGTGTTCATGTAGAGGATTTGTTTTATAAATACAATGTTATTAAAATGAGTGATTTTTGAGGAATGAGAAATTACTTTACACCTTTGAGTGCATACAAAACATGTTTTGTAGGAGTGGAGAAGTAGTTTGTCTGACTGCCAGGTTCAATTCATCATTTATTAGGGCACTAGCTGCAACTAATAATAAAATTTGGGAGCTGGAGAAAGAGATGTAATCTTGATGGCTGTGTTTTAGGAACAGACAACTGTTTCGTTTTCTCTGCTTCACTAACATCCAGTGCCTGCATTTTTCTCCAAACTTCTGTACATTTTACATGAGATTCAATGGAAACAATCAGCATGAAAGAAGAGTAACAGCAAGTAGCAGCATGAACAATTGGATTTGAATCTTAATGAGGGAAAGCAACAGCATGAGAGCAGGAAAAATACATGATCCCAAAAAGGCTATTGATACTGTGACAGCTGTGACTGAGCCAGCAGGCTTCCTCATAATGAAGAACCTATTGAAGTGAATTACTGCCTCCCCACAACACTTCCCTTCTTCTCCAGCTATGTCTGTGCACAAAATGTTGCATATTGAAGTTTTGTCACAAATAGGTTTAATTTGGAGATACACATTTTCTTCATTTTTAAAGAGCGATGGGAGCTCTCAGAGGAATGCTTATTATTGTGTTTGGCATGTACAAACTCACATGCTTTTAATGTTTAAAATTAGTTGCATGTTGCCCACCTTGTGAGTTATGGCTTTTTTGCTAAATAAATGCTAGTAGCAAATATCTGCAGCACTTCAGCAAGAGGGGATTCTTTATGAGCTTTGACATATAATAAAGACACTAGCATAATCCTAATCTAAATAATAGATCTCCTGACTGTGCTGACTCATAGACATAAAATGACTCTTAATCTAGTGAGTATATGATAACGGTTTACTATGGTGAAATTAGGAGAGGAAGAATCTAGTTAAAATTTGATGTAGCCCTCTGGAAGAAACTGCTTTGGTTTGGTTTTGTTTTGAAAGGGAAGTATGAGACGGGGGGAAAAAGTGATGAAAAGATAAGGAAAAGTATTGCATGCTGAAATATCTTTACTTTATATTTGCTGCTGAGTAACACTAATATTACTTCCCGGTGCAACAATGAAGCTAGTTAAAGATGGGGAAGATCTGTGGATATAGGTAGCACTTGCTGAGGCCAGGCTAGGAAAACTCACCATCACAGGTGGACCTGTAATTTGGTTTTTGAAAATGAAATGTTTCTTTGCTTTTGGATTCCCTCTGTAATTTTAGCCCTGCACGGACATCCCTCCACAAGCAAGCTAATATAAACAGCTTAAAAAATCATTCACCTCTTCTTTTTCAAGCTATGATGGAAGGAATGGAATAGCATTATGATCGCATTTTTTATACTTCAGCACAGGCCCCCGCTAGAGGAAAGTTTTGGGAAGCAGAGGGGTACTTAGATTGCTATTTTGCAAGTTGACATAATCTCTTCTGTATTTTTGGACTCGGTTTTAACTTTAGATTGTTTGTTCCAGAACACGTAAGGCAAGTGGTTACTAGTACTTTCCTGACTAATTTGTAGTTGTCTGCCAATAGAACTGTTGAGATATGTATTAAAACCCCAGCCAGATTTATTTTACCTTTATTCTGTTCTTGTAGCTTCAAATCTGTTATTGCAAGAGGCAGAATTTTTCACCTTTCATTACAGCTTATTTTTAATTTTTGTCCCTGTGAAACAACTGTTGCTATTTCCTTTCTGTTTATTTTAAAAGCAAAAGCTATTGAATTGACTTTGTTTTGTCATTGCATTTTCCAAGTAGCTAGTTAGAGGTGACAGATGAATTGTATGAGGTTTGTAAAACTGTTTATAATTGTTTCTTCTGCAGTTCCTAAAGATTCAAGTGATCATTTGCTATAGTAAACATAGAACACTGATTAAGTGAATAAGTATAAGTATCTTCAAGGTATAGGTTACTGGACTAGTGATCAAGGCCCTTCTGGGAAATTAAGTCATTTACTAAAGTAAATTCTTAAGATAATATTGTACTATTAGTGGCAAGACTGAGATTTACAAAATTATCTAGGGAATTTGGACATCCATTTTAATAAATTTTAATTTGGAATTGGAAATCATTTAATTGAGCATTCCTTAGACAAAGTCCCTCAGACACTTTTGAAAGATCTCAGCATAAATGTTAAAATGTTCTAGCTTTTGAGAGAATATGTTTTGTGAAACAAAGACTATGATCCTGCAAATGTAAAGTCATTGTTTATCTGTGCTGCTGTCCACATACCAGTTGACTAGTGGCTTGGTTGACTAGTCAGTTATTGCTCTGCTGGTCTTTAGTTGCAAGTGACAAATGGACATTTTGATTATAAGTGAGTTGAAAATGTTCAGTATGTTACCTTGGTGCTTAAGAGGCCTTGGGAAAAGGTAAATGCTATGTCATTCAGGAAAGTAAATTAAATTCATAAATGTTAAGCTACTTCAGGTCAATGGAACTGCTGGATAACAGTTTATCACATTTTGTGGTGAAGATTTGTCATTTCTAGATAAGAGCAATCCTACACCACTGCACATATATCATCTAAACCTAAGTTATTTCTGAGATAGATCCTCTCTCAGAAATCATCTAGGAGGAGAAACAAGCATTTTGTTCCAGTGGTCCTTAGCACAAGACTGCAATATTTTATAAGCATTATTTTCAGATTCCAGCTTAAGCCAAGAATTGTAATTCAGCTAATATTCTTCAGACATTTCCTAACTTTCCAGATCTTTGGACGTTTTTATATTTATTGTCATGTCCATGGTTCTTTAGTTAGTATGTTGGTTCCTGATCCTAGATCATGTTGTATATACTCCACTCTGGATGCTTACTAGGGTTCAAGTTAGGAAAGGTAGTTCCATTTAAGGTACAGATTTTGTTTTTAATAATCACTAAACTTAAAAAGGGAAATGCCAGAGATCCTTATAAGTGCTTCTTCACTGCCTCAGCATTTTCAGAGGTTGTAAAACAGATATCAGTCTTTATGATTTTAGATTTTACTTCAGACAGTTTCCCTTTTCTTCCTAGAATGTGTGGCTTAGATGTATGAAATAGTTTGAGTATCAGCCTTTTCTATTGATATTTCATTGTCTTTAAAGTGCAAAGTACTGAGAGTTTAGGTAGGCCTTTTGGATGAGGACTACAGGCGCTGCTTTGAACTTTTTACCTTGCTTCTGATGCCACTTGACCTCCTTTTGTACTCTGCGTTAAAATGTTGTCGTTAACAGACATTTTTGTAAGAGTGTGAGGTGGAACTGATGTACATTAAATAGCTATTTTAAACATAATTTAGTCAAACGTGTAATTCACATGACAATTCAAGTACAAAGGAATTACAGAGCTTTTGTGACTGGTGTCATGCTTTAAATCTGAATTGCAGAAGTGTTGAGTGCTTACTGCACTCTGCAACTGAAGTCAGTGGGAACTGTGTTTTAATATGTAGTGCTAAGAAGCTGGCAAAATCAGATCCTACTTATCCCAAACTTTCAAAATTAAAGAGTTTCTAATTTCTTCTTTGCCTTTGAAGTTCCTATCTATAAAATGAGGATAACACCAATGGTTTTTGTTTCACTGTCATTCTCTTATAGCCTTACCTGCTATTCCTAAACTCCCTTCACATATTTAAAAGGAGGTAGTGCTTAAGAGATTACTGAAATATCAGCAGAAATTTTTGATCTTAATGGCCAATATTCCTTTGTCTTTAATAGCTTGAAAGTAAATTAAAGCCATATTTATTTTATTTCTTTAAATGTCATATCCTCCTTTAAATTTCAAAACTGGATTATAAGGAGTACAGAGAATGCCTTAGACTTTTTGCTGGACCATCTTAGGTTATTAATTTTCATAACATTTCTTTTTATTTCGTTCTTTTCAATTTAAAAAAATTTTAAAAATTTAAAAAATAATAATAACAACAACAAAAAAGAAATAAATCTTTAATAGAATATCAACAGAGGCTAACATTTTTAGTGTCTTTAATGTAGGACCTAGTTTTGCTGCTGTTATACATGGTCTGGGATTCCTAGAAACTTGACTTGATCCCCTATATAGAAATAACAGTCAATTCTGTAGCCTCTCTAAGACAAATGAACAGAAATCTGTCTTTAGGCGAAAACCAATATCATAGGTGGGCCTTAGGGTAGACTAATCTCCAAATGCAAGTTCATTTAAGTACTTAGATGTTACAGGGCATTTATATGGTGTCATATTTGCAACATTCATATTGTCTTCTTTCCAAAGAATCATCATGATAGTGCCAAGAACATTTTACTTTCCTGGAAGAAAAATCTATTAATAAATGCTAAAAGAAAAATATTGTGGAATTGCCCATGCAATATTAGCATAAAATTGAAAACATTTCTTATTTTCCCTCTCACAAAGCATCAATACTTACAATCAAAAAGTAGATCAAAAAAGTAGATATGAAACTAGGCTGACACCGACTTTCAAAACTAAACCCATGAAAAACACTTTTAATAACAGGAAGATGATGTAAGTAATTGAGATTATCAGTTAAATATCTTGAGATTACATAGAAAAAAAGCTCTGGAATCTATCACTTCAGATGAAACAATGGTGCCTCTTGAATTTATAAATATACCATAGGCAGAACACATTGTTGTAGTGCTGCATTGTATCAGCCATAATGTCAAATAATCAATATATTCATTTAACTATTGATTGTGTGTTTTCAATTTCTTTCTGTTAGTGTTACCTGCAACACATTTCTTCTTTGTTGCAGGTTCACTAATAATATATGAAAAGACTGCGGACATGAAGGGAGTGAGCTTTGTTGTTGTTATATATGAGCTGAATTTTTAAAACTAAGTAATGCAGACAGTTTAGATGGTGTAAAGTTTTTCAAAGACTTTGTTTTGCAAAGTCCTTAGTTTGAACCAGAATGCAACTTATCTAAAAAAAAAAAACTTTCCTTTTTGTTTCAATTATTTGAATTGCTAAAATTCATGTCACCCCAGCAAGCACATTAAAATCCAAATAGCTAGATTTTGAAAACCGAGGGAAGGAGCTCCAGGCTATGCACAGGAAACATATAGTATAAAAGAACAGAACACTACAGATGCAAGCCAACTTCTGTAATTATGTATTTGTGAACTATAACCACAACTTGTCTATCAAGAATCATGTTCATCATGATATGCCTAAGAAACATGTACTGCAGTAGCAGTTACATTCTCAGACTCCTTGGTGTTAATGTTTTGGTAATCAGGGCAGTTGAGCAGTGGTCTTATTCTGTGAAAAATACATATAGTCTTATTTCAGTGGTGGATGTTCAGCCAGGTCTATTTTAAGCAAGTCATGACCTACCATGCTTGAGAAGGTATTAATCTCTGTAAGCCTGACAGCATCCAGGGGCTTGTATGTCATTATAAAGTCAAGATATTTTACAGTGCTTTTACCTTTCTTTTATCTAATGATACAAATGATTACATGCAATAAATCAATTTGTATTAGACTGTACACATTTTTCAAATCATCCCATACTTTTTGACAGCCATACATATTTTGTAAAATTTGACTTCGTTAGTACATGTATAAACTTTCCATGGTAATGTAGTTCTTGAGGACTATAATGATAAAGAAAGCCTGTGAATAATATTTGTCAAGATTAATGGCAGTGTTTCATTAATTTTAAAACTTAGATTTAGAAGAGTGCGTTCTATCTTATTTTAGATGCAGCATGTATTCAGCATTTAAGAAGATGCAGTCACCTCAGAGACATTATTTTGGTAAAACTTTAGTCCAATTAACATGTAGTATCTCTGGAAGGACATGTATGTGAGACTTTTACATAGATTTTTAATGTGAAAATTTTCATCAGATGATCACAAATAATATATTTAATGTATTATTTGGAAAAAAAATATGTTTGAAAAACATTTGGCAAATGTTGAAAAAAAAATTGACCTAGCTGTTTAAGAAGTTTCAATTTTTTTTAACACTGACCATTGAAATCTATTTTATATATTTTGTGCCTCAAATAAAAGTTTTAGAGTTAACAAATATTTAGATAATTAATTCAGTAAATAGGAGTTATCTGACATTGAATAAGTATTTTTCTGGTTATGGCTTTCTCATATGTAATAACGTCAAGTATTTTAGCAATTTATGTTTCTGAACTTTATGATATTTCTGCCTAAGAAATAGGCAGATTCTGCCTAAGTCTGAATCTTCAGTGGTTATGGTAATGTGAAGGATTCTGTCCTAATTTTTAACTGCGCACAATGTCGTAATGTCACATGTCATAAATAGGACAGAGATTGTGAATTAAATAAATTCTGTGTGCTTCTAATATTATTGTCCCTTTTTGACATATAGCTCCCTACTGCAGTTTAAACTCCATCTTGAGGAATGGTGGAATTGTAAATAAAACAGGTGGTCGACCTGGAAATAAAGTCCATTACTTCTGCAAACCTGGATATAGAATGATTGGTCACAACAATGCAACATGTAGGCGTCATCAAAATGGCATGTATCAGTGGGATTCTCCTGTGCCCATCTGCCAAGGTAACATATTGTTTTTTTCTTGGATATGCTTCTATAATTTAATTGCAAAAAAAGTTTCACAAAGTAAAGATACAGCACTGTAATTTTTCTATGCAGAGAGCCACATTGACATCATGAGTTTATCCAAGTACATGTTGACTCATATGCTTAATGTGTCCAGTCCAAAAAGGTGAGATTAAAAGCTAGGTTAATGCAGTTAAATAAGAACCAAATGAAAAATACATCTTTCATACTATCATTTAATAAAAAACCATATCTGCAAACATTCCACAAGTAACAGCATTTTGTATTACAGAACTTTTTTATTATTATTTTTCCTTCCCTTTGGCTGTTGATTTTTTTTAGCTTGTTTTGCTTTTTCCTAAATGGGGATAGTGAAGCACTGGATTATAGAGCCTGGAGAGAATATGGAATTTTCATCAATGGAGATTTTTCAGGAATGTATTAGATGAACATCAGTCAAGTCTATTTTTGGTTTGCATTAGAGGAATAGGGTAGATGACCATTTATAACCTTATTTCCACCTACAGCTCTAGAATACCCACAGCCCTGTTTTTAGTTTCTTTGTTTTTTTCTTTATATATCCAAGCTCGAAGTTGGATTTCTGCCATGGCTCTCTTGGTGTTTCTGTTTGGTTATCAACAATATTAGCACACTCAGCATGTTTTTTGTTGCAAATCTCACTTTTAGGAACATCTTGTCTCTTCTCTCTAATTTATAGGGAATTTAAATACCTGTCTTAGCTGTGTATTTGATGCCAGGAACAGGTCACCAACTGATAGATGCATGTGCATTAAATTTAAGGACTTTTCAGTGTATGGTTCAGTGATTTCTGCCTGTAATGCTGTCTCCAACCTCTTTTGAGTATGCCTGCACTCTGTATGAATAACGCATGATTTTCTTAAAGACGTACAAGTATGTATAGGCTTTTAAAAGGATTGCCATAGATTTTACTTATTTACTAGTTTTGATAAATAACTTCCAGTAACACATATGGACTATTTAAACAAATTAAAATTGCATTCCAGTTTCTAGATAGTGGAAGAGTTTTCAGTTTGCATTGATTACCTGTTCTTTAGAAGTATGTCTTTATGCAAGATAATAGAAACAATTAAAGTTGAGTTGAGTTATTTTTCTCACATTCTAACTGCACATCTCCCAGCTGGAACCTAGGCTTCTCATCTGTTCATTGACCTTAGAAGCCATTAAGAGTTCCTAAAATGGGAAGATACCCTGAAATCAGTCAGTCTTTTTAGCAATCATTTAGGAATCTAGAAGGATCAATATACTTAAATATATGACAATAGAGATACTGTTTTGACTGTCAGAAGACAATTCTCCATTTCAATGAATTTGTTGTGACAAAAGCCTCACCCTTTGCACACTGAAGGAGAAATACTCAGTTATGAGAAGACAAGAGCAGCTCTCATTAGGGTGCAAAAAGTCTCAATAAGATGTGTTTCATAGGAAGCACCTTATTTTTTGAAATTTCTTCAGTTCTAGTTCTGTTTGTGATGTGGTAAATTCCAAATGGAAACAAACAATGCAAATGAACTAATTATTAATAATTTTACTGCCTACCTCTCTTCATTGTAAACATATGCAAAACATTGTGTTGCATTAATTTAAAAGCATCAAATGTGACGACTTTGGAATATTGAAAACAACTTTTAGAGTGGTGTTTATGCTACATGACAATGTGTTGTGGAATTAATCATTTCCTTCGAACCAGGTAGACTTCACCATTAGACTTCATCAGTGTTTAGGAGATTTCAGATACATTCTGTCATTTTTTCATTTGTAATCTTATTAAATAATAATAACAATATTTCTTCCAAGAAGAAGGAAACAAATGTCCATAGGGCTTTGTGACTGTAATATTTATATTTACATTTATGTTTATATTTATATTTATGGAACAGACATTTTCATTTGCAAAATTCATTTTTACTTTATTATATATGTAGAAATGAAAGCTTTAAAAAGTGTTTTGTCTTTATTCTGTGTATTCACTGAAGATTAATAAACTGGATGCCAGGCACAGAATAGTGATTCTATAAGTGTACTCATTGGCTTATGAAATCTTTAAATAGATTCATTCTAATATTTCGATATGTTCTGTGCTCTAAGTTGCTCTTTTACATAGAATATTTTCAGATAAAATAATGCTATGACTTACAAAAGCATCTAATATTAGTCTTTGTGGATTAATAACCATTTTAAACAAAGTAGAGCATTAAAAAAAAGTAAGTGAAAAAGAAATTAACCTTTGTGAATTTCAAAATATAATTACTTGTCTGGGGAACAATTTTGAAGGAACAACCAAAAATATAGTAATATAGTAAAATTAATATAGTAAAATACAGTAATTTGGAGCCCCAAAACAAATTTTAGAGGCATAATATCCATTTTGGAGAAATTAGATTCAGAGGACAATGTTGCACCTGTTTAAAAGTAATTTTCTTCATGGTATGGAAAACTAGTAACAGCTGAATTCACATAATTTTGCATTTTAAAGTGATTTAGTAAAGTATGTAGCTAAGTATTTAACTGTAGGTGTCTAAATAATGCCCTTATCTTCAGTAGAGCTCCTCCTCATCAAATGAACTTGAAATTCTGTAGTGGTAGATGAGGAATGAAGGAAATCCAGAGAAAATGGAAGCAGAGTATTAGAAAATATTTAAGAAGTTTCTAGTGCTTTTGTTGTTGGACCCAATCATTTTAGGCTAGATTTCTTTTCCTAAAAAAATAAACTATTGGACTTCTGTGGCTTCGTCTATGGTGGAGTTTCCATCTTTTCACTGATCCAATTCAACAAAATAATGATTCATAAAATTCATATTTTAGACGCACTGAAAAGTATTTGTTATTATTTTAAATATTCTTATATTTTTTGAATGTTATGTATATGATGGAAATTCATGACAGTTTTACAAATGGGATATGTCAAAATTACTGTTTTGTGTTTGTTATTTCAATGATGGGGCAATATTTAATATGAGAAAGTAACTTTAATTTTTTTTTTCTTTCTTTCTTTTTAGCTGTATCTTGTGGTATTCCTGAATCCCCTGGGAATGGTTCAGTAATAGGTAATGAATTCACTTTGGGCAGTAGATTGATATATGAATGTAATGAGGGCTTCAAGCTAGAATCTAGTCAACAAGCAACAGCAGTGTGTCAAGAAGATGGATTATGGAGCAACAAAGGGAGATCACCTGTCTGTAAATGTAAGTGGGCATACAATTCTCAAGCATATTTCCCTTGAATTTTCTCAGGAAAATCTTCAGTGATTATGTTGAAATTTTATGTATACATATCCCTCAAACTGGAAATTCAAGAACATATAGCCATTTAGTATGAAGGAAATTAGTCAGGGCCTATTTTTTTAATATAAAATTGTTTATCTTCTGCAAAACATTTGACTTAATCTTTAAATCATTTCATGTATATTTTAACTCTTCACCATTATTAGAGAATTATGTTACAATTAGTATTTTTATTCATTTTTAATATGGATTCTTAAAGAATGGAAGCAAATACAGATTCTAACATAGATCAGTACAAATTCTAAATGAATTCTTAAAATTCTGCCCGTTTAGATAATGAATCAGGATAAGTTGTCCCTCCTTGCCCTCCTGGCCTGCCCTTCCTAAGGAGCCTGTATCCATCCACAGCAGCATTCCAGACATGTGAGCTATCCCACCATATCTCCGTAATCACAAGATCCTAGCCTGAAACCAGACACAGAGCTCTATTTCCTCCTGTTCATTTCCCATGGCAGATGCATTTCTGTGTAGGCACTTCAGAGAGGTATTTGAGCATGCTGATTTTCCAGAAGGGGTGCAAGATGTTTCGCTGTAGTCTTGTCTAGTAGGTTCTTCGTTAGCTGCATGCAGTTGCTGGAGTACACCTACTTGAGCCCTGTTTTTGTGACGGCGTGGTCTCCATAGAGACCTTTCCCTGTCTTTCTGGGTTAAGGCGTAAGAGCAATGCTTAAAATTAAATGCGGCAGTTACACTAAGAACATCAGAAAGACTGTTCAGAAACCCCTATAATAGCACAAACATGTTCTGAATTCAGAACCAGCTGCAGAGGGAAGGCAGTACATGGAACTGCCCTTCATTTTTCTAGAGAAAAAGACCAAAGTGCAAAACACATAAATGGAATGTTTAATCAGAGGGAGCATCAATGGGTTCTCTTGAGGGAAGAGAGGAGTATAACTCTCTGGGTATTAAAAATATATTGAATATATTGAAAAGATATTGAAATATATCTGCAGGGAAAGAAAATCAACTTCTACATTCAAAACTATCCAAATTAAATAGATAATGACAACCAATGAGCTAAAAATTGTAATCATTAATAAAAATTGGCACAATTGTCAACATTATAAATTTTGCTTAATATTTATAGTGTTCTTATAAAATAGATATAGCGCTTTTTCTCATCTTTGTCCAATTTTAAAAAATTTAGACATTCTGGAGAAAAAAAATCTGTATTACTTAGTAAAGCCAGAACTGCAACAGTATAAAAGACCTGGCAACTAAATGACAATGTTAAAACCAATATTTTCAAAGTGATTGCTGTTCAGTGAGACGTGCTTTACCAAAGATTACCTACCCGCAAAGAGAAGAAGAGCTTGAGAAAATATGCATAGCATCCTCTTTTTGTAGTATGGCTACTGTAAGGATAAAAATATTTAGTGTCCAGTGACAGAAACGTATCAGACCTGGTGAACAGCAAACACAACACAGAAAGGTAAATGGTATATAAATGAGTTAATTTTAATAAACCTGGAGATAAAATAAAGGTTGAAATAAATAAATGCAGCTTGTGTTGCAAAGTATCTCTGATAATATAATGCCTGAGACAGACATTTGAAGCTCCTTTTTTTTTTCAATAAAAATATACCAGCTCTGGATCAGGGGAAATTGATTCATGCTGGTCACACAGCAAGACACAGAAGGATCATGGACTTTGACTCTTGAACTAAGAGAAAACTGAACTGTATGATAAGTAATTTACTTCACTTGTTTTGCGTTCTACATCATCAGCACAGGATTAAGGGAACTAGTTATATCTCGATTGCCATTTGAATGTCTTTCTAAGGTTATTCTTAAATCCAGGCCAATGTTCCAATTAGAGTGCAACCTTATAATAGTTCAGAAATTAATAGACAACACTGTATGAAGCTTGCAAAAACTTTTGGATGAAAGTACATAACTGTTGGAAAAGAATGTATGGCATGAGGTACAAAACCCAATTCCATCCAAAAGTTGTCAATATACCCAGGAAATGTGGACAAATATATATATGTGGGTGTGTGTGTGGGTGTGTGTGTGTTGGTGTATGTGTATATATCAATATATAAATATGTTACTGAACAATTTCGTGACTTGGATACCATCTCTACCTTTTTTTTTTTTTTTTGTCCTAAAGATGACATATAAGATTATCTATCTTTTAAGGAGTCACTGTATTTAAAAAACTTAGTTTAAAAAAATATATATCTATTATTCTATGGACCCTAGATACTGACCTTCCTCATGAAATAAAGATATCAACCTAAAACCAAGATTCTTTCTCCATAGCAATCGGACCTCTTGTTAGGAAAGTCTATTCATAGCTTGAAAATATTATTTATTTTTTTTCTGTGAATAATGTAGAGATACAGATGTTGTATCCTTATTCATCTTCCATGAGAAGAAACCTCAGGAATGTACTGCAAAATATGAGTTTGCTCTGACAAGTGGTGCATTCCAGTACTGTAAACTTTTGACTGAGATGTGATACAGTCCCAGTGTTTGGATTAGTGAGAATTTAAGTGTGTATTTTTAGAAGAACTAGAGTAAATGGAACACATATTTCATCTAAAATTAAACATCAATTTTTTTCATGTTGGGTTGAAATAAAAAGCTCTCTGGGCCAACATAAAGGGTAAAATTTTAAAAAGGCATGCTACAAAATGTCAAAAATAAATTCTTAAGAAAATGATAACTGTGGTTAATGAATATTCTAGAGTTTTTCCAGCCATTTAGTAAAAAGAGGTACAATATCTGATTGAAATGAATAGAAATATAATCTTTTTTTTTGTTCTGCAGGAAATCTGGAGGCATGAAGTAAGAAATCTTAAGAAATTTCTTTAAATTTCTATTAAGAAATTTTAAGAAATGTGCATCTTAAGAAATTCACAGAAAAAAGGAGCATTAGTTTCAGCAGAATCTAGTAAATGCAAAGCAGAGCATTCTGTTCTGTGCATCGTGTCCTGCACTCTGTGCTTTCTGACCTTACCTAAGGAACTGACTAAAAATGCTGTCAGAGGGTCAAAAAATAATGACAGCAAATTTAGTGTCAAAATCTATATCTATGTTTCTCCTCACAAGATAAGAAGGACTGAATGTCTGAAGGACTTACTGCAAGATCAAAATGTTACATTCCTACCAGCTCCATAATTTGAAATTGAAATACCATAATTTGTATAAAAATAGGAATGGATATTTTAGACATGTTCATATAAGTTGTACTCACATAGGTTATACTGTATATTTACTGGTGCTAACGTGTGTACCAATATATGTTTTTTTACTAAAAAATAAAATAGAATAACTTCTTAGCCCCTACTCTTTCTTTCCTTTCCGTGGAAGTGAGTAGATGCATGACCGACAAAATCAAATCTGCAGCTAATTAATTTTACTAAAATTTTAATTACCTGGGATGTGTTCTGCAAATATATCACTTTATTTACTTCTCAGTTAGTTCCTAATATACTGACTCAGATTAAACCAGATGCCTTACTTTGTGTTAGTTTCTGTAATACCAAGTATTTCAAGGAGCACCTTATATCTAAATTTTACGATTGTATAGTCTATAAATTGTAGGTCTCACTGTAGATATTTCTGAGAGTAATAGTGTGGCTTAACTCTAACAGCAATGACATGGATATTTCTTTCTTATATTATTTTCTAGAAATCATTTCAAAGATAATTAGAAAATTTAGAAGTTTTTAAATAATTTTCATTTTCTTTCTACAGACCTACTTATGCTACTTTGTTTCATGTAGTAGTTCTGAAGTAAAGCATCAGTTACATTATAAATAAAAAAATAAATTTGGTAATGTATATGGGGAATGTATCATCGCTTATTGTTCCTAGATCTACAGTTAGTGGCATTTTCTATTAACTAGGACATGCAGAAGACCTATGCAACAATTCTGCAAGCATTTTTTAAATAAGTCCTAACATCAGAACTTTTTTTTCCTTTTTGGATGGTTCTGCTACACAGAACATTAGTACTTACTGATGGTTAGTGCTTGTTCATTGAGATATAGTAAAACATTTCTAACATTTTATATTGAGTTTGAATACATTAGACTTGTAACAGATTGAGTTGACATAGCTGACTGAATTGACAGACTGACACAATACTATTTGACCTTTTTGTTTATCTGCTCTGGGGTTTGAAAACCTTTCTGGTTTAAATGTGGTGAACATCAAGAAGCATTTGATTATTTTGTACTGGATTCTTTTTTTCCTCTAGAACACTGGAAAAATCAGCTTGCTGAAATGATCCTTTTCTATCTTTGTTCTTAGGCAAGAGCCTAAGATAGGTGGATAGGATTATTTGATTTTCTAGTGTCATCCTATTTTACTAATTATTATGAGATTAAAAAGCACTACTTTGTTTTTTCTTTCATACTATACTGCCTTGGTCTTAATTTTGAATTGTTAATCTAATATTGAATTCAGTCAAAATAGTATATTTGAACAATATAGTTGTAATTAATTAGATTATAAATTGACATTATAGTGAATGCCAAAATGCCCTTTCCATTTCTTTGGGATCTTTAAATAATAGCTGATGAATGACGATCAAGTATCAGATGCCATTATACTTGCAAATAGTAACAAATTCCTAGAATTGAGATCATTTTTATCAAACACATTGCATTTGTCTTTTTTTTTTTTCGCTTTGAAGCAGTAATTGTATTAAGAGTCAGGTAAATGGTAGCTGACATTTAAGATGCTGCTGGGATAGCAGGGGATTTATTCATTTATTTATATAATAATAAGCAAAGCCTTATAGACATAAGAGTAACTCAGTAAACAGGAAAAGTCAGTTTTCTGGTATGCTATGCCATTGAAAATATCAATAACTAGTTGTATTTATTGACCAGAAAACAAGTAAAAAGAGAAGAAAAATACAAAGTATTAATTATTATGAAGAGTTAAACCTAAGACCTCTGCCCATTGCTGCACAAATTCTTGTTGTTTTAGTTATTCAAAAGCTTTGCTTGCCTTTTTTTTTTTTTTTTTCTCAGTGCCAGTATTCATGTAGCAATGAGTCTTGAGTAGCAAATATATTCTTGTGCTGATAGAACAACTTATTTTTCAACATTTTTATAGTAATTACATCTGTGGATGAATGCCCTACTTTTGAGTCTGTTCAGAATTATCAGTACGTGGAGACCATCATTAAAATTAGCCTTAGTATCATTTCAGATGTTAATTATGTTTACTGATTTATACTTTATGCCAAGCAGCATTATTATACAACATTTCCGTATAAAGCGGACTTAGGAAAAAGAGAGCACCTCTTTGTATCTGCAGAAAGTCATCTATGTAAATAACAAGTATCTGTAGTGTGCAACCTGTAATTTACAGGAGAGACACTCTTAGGGCCAAATTGATTAACTCAGTCTTAAACCATGTGCACTAAATCAAGCATCTGTTATTAGTCTATTATTTGTCTCTTGAAGGGCAGGGAAAATAATAAATAAGAATCATTATGTGTAAAATTAAAACCTTAAATTTTTTAAATAATACTTTTAGTTGATTACATCAACACACAGTCAGAAACTAAAGAAAGTATATTCTATATTCAAACATTAACTTCTTCAAGTAGAAATTCTACACCCATATAATGAAATCTGATCTTGTGTGTAAAATGTGCTCGCAACAAGATACAAAGCATATGTGTAGCTAAGCAAAATAAATTACATACTAACAATGTAGCTCATTTATATATTTATTGAGCTTCTCCACTCTACGTGTCCTAAGATACCATCTCTGCTTGAGATGACAGTTTTTATTAGTGACTGTTAGGCTCAATAAGAAGTTTCCTTTCATCTTTGAAAGGACCATGTTTCTCAAAAAGTTTATTACTTCAAAGGAAAGATTTATCAAAAATGTATGATTTATGTTGAATACTTATTTAGAATAATCTTTGTCTTCTGATAGACCTATATGATTTCTGTCTGAAGTGTTATGGGAAGTGCCTTAATGTTCTTGATAATATTTAATAAAGAACTGTTTCTTAGTTAGTAATGTTTGTTCTTTTATTGTGAAACACAGCTTGACCGTTTTAAATTAAATTAGTGGGTAGGAAGTTGTCCTTTAACTTGGAAAACTGCTTCTAAATGATTGAAATGTTATTATATGACATTATTTTGATCACATATATATCAAAAGACATAGATTATTATTTTTATCATTTACTGAAGATATTCTGCAAAGTGGTGAAAGTCTAAAATTTTTCAGAAGTGCTTCTGATATTACTTTCCATACATTTCTGTAATTCTCAGAACCAGTCTCTTTCATTACATATTCATACTCTTGATAAAATTACCTTGTACCTCTCTGACAATGAAAAGTAAGTCTAGAGCTTAGTAATTAATTTTTGTCAGCTTTATGGGTCCTTCATCTGGTTTAATAGTGTAAATTTATTGTGACGTAAGTGATAATCAGATGCTTGTTCTTATTCATTCAGAGAGGGCTTTTTTTTTTAACATACTTTTACCTATTTGTTCTATTTTACACATAACAAAATAACTTGAATGTAGAAAAGATCAGAGGCCATGATTCCTGAATGTATCAGATCTTTAGAAAAAAATTAACTTTAAGGTACTATATTACAAAAATCAAACAAATAGACAAAAAAAATTCTTTACTTTTTCCTTTCTTTTTTTTCAAGTATTTCTTGAGTACTCCTGGCGTAGTGGTCTGTGCTAAGGTATTCTATGGGATATTGAAATTCACTGTATCATTTCACAATTTTTCTATAGAGCGTAATTTTTGAATCACAAGAATCCAAATATGGATATTTTAAATTAAAATAATATTGACTTAAATATGATAAATAGTTTATATGTCTCTTGAATGGCAGAGCATCACTTAAAATGTGAAAAAATAAGTGTTACACATGCTTTAAAAAAATCACAATTGCAGTAAGTAGTATTAAAAAAAAAAAGAAATTTCGCAGTGACTCGCACTAACTGCGTTCTTTTGAAAAATCTGAAAGACCACAGAACTGACATCACTGTAGATTATTCCTGAATGTTGCCTTTATTTTTAATGGGTGCTATGCTAAAATGAAATGTAATAATTTTACAGAATACCTACATCATACAATTTTACACTTATTAATATGGGATATGTATAAACGACTTTTATGACACCTGGCTTGAGAACTTGATAGAGCTTTTGTTAAATGGACAGAAAAACAAAGCATTGTGTGAAATTTATTTTACATTAATTTATCAGAAGGCAGAAGCCCTAGAAATGTACAGTTTTCGCACAAGGTACACAGCATTATTTATTCTTCAATGCATATGCTATAGTCTGAGATATTTAAATGAATCACATTGAGGAGAATGTTGTTGCACTGCAGCTCTCTGAATTAAAATGTACTACAAACCTCTCCTCAGTTCTAATATTAAAAGTATATTGTTAATTATTTTTGCTGGAAATTGTATTTCATAAATGCTTGTAGTATGCTCAGTTTTATATTACAAGACTTCTGCAAGTAAAGCAACATGCGTTTTCTGTGAAGAAATGTGAGGCTAGAATACTAAAAATTACCTGTCCTTTCTTCACAGCTGTAACCTGTCCCAGCATAGAGACTCTGCTCACAGAACATGTTGTCTGGAGACTGATTTCTGGGTCACTGAATGAGTATGGAGCTCAAGTCATGCTCAGCTGCACTCCTGGATATTATTTATTGGGCCAAAGACTCATACAGTGCAGAACTAACGGAACCTGGAGTTCAGGCAATGAAAGGCCTATTTGTAAGGGTAAGGAAGATACTTGTTTTCAGAATATAAAATGTTTTTAGTGCATAACTTTTTATATAAATAGGATTTTTATTTAAAAAAAAAATCTTTAAACACCCATCTTAATTAAGCAAGCAGATAAAATATTTTAGTTGGTTGTCATATGCTGAAATTAGTTGATTAGAGCTCTTAATCTGTATATGTAAAGTACAATAAATAGAAACAGTTGTAGAATCACTGGCTCAATCTACATGATAATCTAGGATTTATTCAAGTAAGTATTGCTTAAGTATTCAGAGAATACTAGGAGATGATATAAATATCCATGTGAGGTAGATGTGACTCATCTGTCTCTTGTACATGGAAAATATAAAGGAGCAGACAGGAGGGATAGACTATGGCATCTCAAATGGCACTAAATAGCTATATCTAGGTAAAAGAATTGTAATGTAAGAAAGATGATCACTGAGGATTACATGGTCACATTTTCAGAATCAGATGAAATATGTGCATTAATCCAAAGAGGCAAATTATTTTGAATATGCCCAGTATCAAATGTAATGTGGAAAAAAAAAAAAAAAAGAAGGGAAGGGAAAGGGGAAAATGTAACTATAGTATTTTTTTGAAAAAATACTTTGCCTTCATCTGTAGGATCAAGAAATAAATCAAAAATATATGAATTTTGGATATGTTGTGGTCTATTTTAATTATAAGAAACATTTTGCATTGTAGAAGACTTAACATTTTAAGAGGTGGAAACGGAAACATCCATTTTATATTAATAGTCCTGAACATGGTCGTAGAAAAATTCCACTAGAATTGTCCTTTCCTATATTTGGAACAAACTTCTAGCCTGAGTTCCCAGTAAAAATCAGGTTTCTCATCAGTATTGGGAAGCATGTTGTTTCAAACCTAAGGCGTGGAATTTGCAGAGGGAGTACTTGGTAATATTAGAATGGGAAAAAAGAACAAAAGAATGAATACATAGAAAGATTTAATCTATGTAACTAAAAATAAAGCAACGATATCTGGGTTCTTTTTTTTTTTTAAAAAAAAAAAAAAAGGAACTATTTAAGATATTTTTAGGAGAAGGCCGAGCATGCTGCCTGGAACAGAAAGCAGTGCATGAAGATAATGTAATTTGATTTTATCTAAATAATGATCGGCTATGAGATTAATTTTGGTTCTTTTTCTTTTGTTATTTTTTTGGGAGGGGGAAATTTCCTTTTGAAAATATGCAGTTGGAAAAATAGGGTTACTCTTTTATAACTCTTAATATATAAATTCCCATTTTAAATTCAAAAACGATGAGATTTTGTTTAAGTCAAATCACACTCCTTTTCTTTTGTACACACATACTAAAAAGCCTCTAAAGCCTAGCTTTTTTTTTTTTTTTTTTTTGCTTCCTAATGTGCAGATACTACTCAGCTGTTTTCAAAAGCTGATTCTTCACCTGTTCTTACAATTATAGGATTCTTATGTAAAAGTAGAAAATGGGGTAACCTGTATGAGATGTCAACAAAAAGCAAAAGGTTAGTTAGATATAGAAATTAAAGGAGCTGCTGATTAAAGATAGATTAGTTTATTTATGAGATAGATTTGTCCTCTGATAAAGGACTGATTAGGATTGAATTATTGCAAGCCCCATCTCCATATTTACTATTATTTTCATTTAGATCCAGAAATATACTGAGAAGAGCTCTAATATTCTCTGTTGCTGTTATCTGTCTGTTGCTACTTAGAATATTTAGAGAGATTTTACCTATTCAAGTTTATATTTCTGAAACAGCAGGAGCAATAACTGAAACAATGGTGGTAAAGCCTGTAATCATATGTATCATTATTAACTGTGAATAGTTTCTGTTTGTACAATATCTCTACCACATCTCTAAAGGAGTTGCAAATCATCAAATTGGAGGAGTTCAGTATTAAGAAAGATCTAACTAGTAAAATTGTTTTGTTTGTTTAAGATTATATCGAATATCTCCCTAGCAATTACGAAAATAAATCATTTGTGACATGTTTAGAACAAGGCATTCTAACTGTATCCTAGAAAAAAAGAATGATGATGTTTTATTGGATGTATAAGCATATTTAATGTTCTGCGTATTAGCATTAGAAGTTGCAATGTTAGGCCTCTCCACAAATAGCTTTAATGTGACTTTAATCAAAATGAATCCTATTCACCTTTGGTAACCATATGTGCATAACAGACTTCCATCACATATTCTAATAGTGACTGTGCTGACTGCAGGGTCATATGCAATCTGTGTTGTCCGACTTCCACCCTGGAAATTCCATGTTGTTTTCTGCAATGAACCTTTTAAAATATAGAAGAATGGGGCCTTGAGGCTTCAATTAGTAAATTTATCTGTGATTAACACACTTTTGAAAATAAAGATAAACTCACGTGCTAACTGGTAAAAAAAAATACATATATAGTTCAAGATCTTGGAGGCATTTGTGTGCATCTTTAACCACAAGGTTGTTGATTTATTTTTTTCTGGAAGCAGATGTGACAGAACATTTCTAACCAAATTACAGTCTGATACATTCCTAAGAACTTTTTGTGTGGTATCTGTCGTATCAGGTATCTGTTGGGCTTCAGCTGACACAGAAGGTTTCTATGATAATGTGTCAAGTCTGGAGTAGAAAAGAAAAATTCTTAAGAGGTAGCCTATAATATATATATTATGTAATTATGAATATCAACGAGAAATAAGAAAAAAAAAGTCAGTTTAGAACAGTTCAGCATACAACATGTAAAGGTAGTACCTTTCAGAAGGCCTGAGAAAATAGGTATGAGGAGCAGCCTGGAAAAAGGAAACATGCTGTATAGTCACAACCTTCCTGAACATTCATATAGTTTTTGTGCATCAGCTCTGGATATGCAAATTGTCTCTAAGCTGCTGTCAAGTTGTGAAGATACCTTTCTAAATTTTCAGATTTAGAGCATGCTTTGCCAGAACAAGCATAATTTTAAGCCCTCACTATGGAATACAAGTCCAAATTCTTTCATACTTAATTTGTATTACACTTTTTAAGAAAATGTGAGGTGATACATCAAAGGAATTGTGTAAAGTGATTTCATATTTCAGTTATAGTGTTTTTTTTTTCCCCCTAGTTATCTCCTGTGGTGGTCTTCCATCTCCACCAAATGGGAATAAGATTGGAACCTTAACAGTATATGGAGCTACTGCAATATTCACCTGTAACACAGGGTACACATTAGTTGGTTCTCACGTAAGAGAATGCCTGGCAAATGGACTCTGGAGTGGTACTGAAACCCAATGCCTAGGTAAACACATTTCTGTTTTATTTTTAATGAAACAATGCTTTTAAAACAATGAAAAATAAGGGGATCATGAATACAGAAAGCATGCTGTAATACAGAATTTATGCTGTAAGAGGTTTTTTACTACTCGCATTTTTGGGGGGTTTTGTTTGTTTGTTTTTAGAAATTCAACATTCTAACAGCTGAATGTACTCAGTTGCTGTCACGCATGGGGGAATCTCTTCTTTTACCTTCAGAGTTCAGCCTTACTTAGAAGGCAGCCTTCTTTGCTGCCTATGCACATCCTTTTCAGCAGAACATGTACTACCCGTTATCTGTTACATTGTACATTGTAAACAAAATGGTTTGTCCACCTATCATATACAGAAATAGAGGAAATAATTGCATAAGCTTTTTATAAATTATTAGGATGACTCAGTATTTCAATATTTGACTTTAGTAACTGTCTTTAAACAAACATAGATACTTGTACAGAAAGTATCAGATTTGTTACTGATTTACACTAATTGAAAGGTTGCTATTTGTGCACAAATATTATATGTAGTGCTTTCCAAAAAGATGTAATGCACATGCATGTTTTTATTGTTAATGCATTTATAGAACATCATAATGTTTCATCTTACGGTACATAATGGATCTAATCTTTGCAGTAAACGTAATAAAGAAGGGGATCATAAAAAAAGATGAAATGCACACTAAATTCTAAATTATTCTTCTAAATTATTTCTAGTATGTTTTAAATGTTTGATTTAAACAATAGGATCAAAGAACAAGGATACGATTGTCTAGAATAAGACCATTCCCTATTTTTGAATCAATAGAACAGTAAAAACATTGTTTTATATGGAAATGATGGTAGTTATAGTAGCTATAGTATAAAATATCAAAGCTGATATCGAGAACTCATTTCCTGTATAAATTTTAGGTAGACAAATGTGGACTTTGTCTGATTAGTTCTATATCTAAAAGTAACATTTGACTTCAAGGCTTTTAAGTAAATTATTTTTCTTTATTCATTTTTGAATTGTAAAATCCCATGACCTCCCAACCTTTGGGGACATTATGTTTAATAAGAGTATGTTAATATGATAATTTTGCATATGACTAAGTATATAAAGTAGGAATGATCTTCCTCTGCCCTTGATATCTTCAAAATATCCCCTTAAAAATATTGGTAGCTATGCTTTGTTGCACCTCTGAAGAATCAAAAAACTTGTCATATTGGAAGGGTTGAATTAAGAACCTCAATTAAAATTAAAAAAAAAAAAATCTAAGTGTCACTTCTTCAAATCTTTCACTTACTCGCTGAGAAATCCCTGATTCTAGAAACCAAGTCAAAATTAATGCTGCACATATTTTTGCAACAAGCCAATATCCGTATGGACATTTACAGAAGTCCATAGTATATATGGACTTAGTATATATATATATGTAAAGAACTGAAATGGAAGGCTGATGAGCATGTTAAGAAACATGAATGTGCTTAAATTTCATGATGTCAGTAAGACCACTGGCTTTCTGTGTCCTGGTAAATACTTGTGATTTTTATATATGAGGTCATTGGTGCTAAATATGTCATACAAGCAAGTGATAAATAGATAGTCTCTTCCATTTTTGTGGAATGGTAGTCTATTCCACATACTTTTATAGTATAGTACCATATACCATATATAACCATAGTTTTTACAGCTTATACCCACATCAAGTTGCAAAACTAAAAGAAATGGTCGAACATAGTGAGCAAGGCATAGAGCTTCTATTTATAATAAGCTTAGCTGCTTAGTAACTCAATAAGGCTAATAACTAATAATTCAGTCCAGGCTATGTAAAAGACTTGAAAAAGCTAAAAAGGAGCAAAGCAAATCAGTTTTATCTAGCAAAAACAATTCTACTGAGGTGCTGACTAGGGGAATTTTCTTTTAGTTTTCCTGTACTACCTTTTTGTGCATATGAGATCACTGTTGTGTTTCATCCATTTCACTATGGAGCAGCATGCACATGAAAACAAAACAGTTTTATTTCATAGTGATGTCAGGCTATCCCTAGAAAGAGGAAGACAGACAGTTAAAACATAGGGAACTCTGTATATCTAGTCCACATGAGTGAAAGTATTTCTTCAACCGTTTGTTCCATTACAAATATGGGAGCTGCATTGTAAAAAGAAAGGCTGCTATTGTACAATTTTTGTGATATGTTATACCATTCATCAATAGTGTGGTGCCTGGTATGTGTGTATCAAATTTTCTAGCAAAATGGTATGTGTTAGCTTTCATTCATTTTAAATAATTTGAAACATCATTTTATCCACTTATCAGTCACATTAGTACATAGTACTTATTTACTCCTTTTACTCCTTTTCATTTTCAAAGGGTGTGATAATTCAGTTGCCACCTTGTACAAAATAAACAGTATATAAATCTCAATGGATTCTGTATTTGTATTATAAATTACTTTTGCCTGGGGAAAGCTGTAGAGGATTCTTTTTTATACTCTGAGGCCTGAGAAGTATATATGACCATTGAACAACTTAGTAACAGTCTATGATAGAAATAAATTTAGGCTCAAATATTTTACAGGTGGAGAGGACCCATATGCACAGGAATTAAGGAGCAGTACCAGTTTAATCCTCCCAGTCTGTTTAAAAAACAGACTTTGGTTTCTGTGGCATATACCAGGTTGATTGCACTGTAAAATGCAGCTCTATGTTTAGAACAGTTAAATATATGCCTGTATCGAAACTGAACAAAAAGTATCGCACCTTTGACTGAAAGATTGTTAATCCTAATTTAGCCTTTGCCATTTTAAATTCAGACAAATTCAATAATGACAAAAATGCTGCTACAAGTGTGAAAGTCTAAATATAAATGAGTTATCATATGCATGCTGCCGAAGGTTATATTAGACCACTTCCTACCTCTCTTATTTCTGTCACATGAAGGGTATTCGCAACATGCACTTTAGGTGCCTAATTTAGATGCAATTTAGAGTAGAATCTAAGACCCTGTATTCCCAGTAAGAAAATAAGATGGATAGAACTATGAAGGCTCCTCCAGAAAGTAATTCAAAAAAGGTAAATTTGCTTCTTTAACCCAAATGATGTGAATGCCAGCAGTTGTGTATTTCTAAATCCTTGAAATAAACCTGATGCATGTCGTCCTTCAAATTTCTAAATTGGAAATAAAGCTGAAGGATATCCTTCAAATTTCTAAATTTAGAAATTGATGACGTGTCAGATTTATTTCAAAGATGCCTTTAGGACTAACATAAAGACTGCAAAAATTTCTAGACATACACCCAGCGAGCTCTGAATGAGCCTTTACATTTCAAAAGAATGATAATGAGTTGAAGAAGCTTCTGTGTACACAGTATATAAATGAATGTAGCTCCAGGAGCTATAGGTGAAAATAGATACCACTCATTAATCTATGTAAAGTGAATTTTTGATTTTAGTCCAGGTGAATGAACTAATTTCTACATCTCAGTAAGAGGTTTCTCAAATCCTCATTATATGTCTCAGAAGAAAGCTAAGCCAAATGGCTGCAGTTAATGAGCCCAAGACTAAAAATAGAATTAATGTCTTCAAGCATTCAGTATTGTTTGTAACTTCTCCTAGTTATAAAAAGATAAATATGAATCCTTAGGCTATTTTTTTCTGCTTTAATTAAAATCCTGAAACTGCTGATATTTAATGTTACTTCCCCTTTTCCCTCCCCAAAAGAATTGCACCTACAAGTAGAGCTTAAGCATGTGTGTCTGTATGTATGTTTTGTGTTGTACGAGTGTGTGTGCATGCATGTAGGGGGAATATAGCTCTCATCTGAAGTGTTGAAGTGTGTGCTTAATTCTATCTCTAGTATTGATGGAATTTATTCAGAGACTAAAATACTTTTCCTGAACAGATAATTTATCCTGATTTTGCATGACTTTCAGGTGCAAAACTCTATATAGATACGTTAAGAGCATACTGTAAAATCTAAACATAAATGTAAATCCATTCCACTTCATTTTCATAAATTCTTAGCATATATTTTTTCCAAAAGTAAGAATTCTGTATTCTACATAATTCTATAATATGTGTAATTCTCAACCTTTGTCGAGGGTAAAAAAAAAAAAAAAACGCTATTACTGGCTGTGCTTTTTTCATAAATTTCTGCTCTTCTAATTAATCTAGTATGATATAATGTTTTTGAATAGTATTATGATTTCTTATTGAAAAATAAAATGACCTGTATCCTGTTTGCCAGATGTTTTAGGAGAGAGCTGCTTAGTCAACTCTGAACTACATGAATATTTTCCTTAAGTCTTAAGAGCATATTTTATTAAAAAACCTACTGACAAACCCTTTAATTTACTTTGAATCCGATTTTGTGTGTATGGGAAGTTACATAAATTTTATGTTACTGCCCTGCTCTTTCAGTTCTTAATTTCTTGGGATGTTTAATCTAAATGAGTCAAAATTCACAAAAAAAAATCATTAAATCCAAAAAAAAAATCATTAAATCCACTAGCTGGAGTGATCTGTGAATAAAATGATTCACATAAGTGCAGAGGGCTGTTGAGTTCAAGAGAAAATATACAATACTTCAGCTGGCACATCTCAGCTATCTTTGTTCCTGAAATTTCTAGTGATTCCTTGCACTTAGCTTCAATACAAACATTGCATTTCATTTTTTCACTTTTTAGATCTACCAAAAATAAGCATTTATTTTTTTCCATTCTAGTTGTATTAATACAGCATTTCTCTTTTTTTTTTTTTTTTGCATCCCTTTCACCCCTTTCACTTCCCCGCCCCCCCCCCCCTTCTTTTTTTTTTTTTTTTTTTTTGGTGGTGGATTTCCTTCCACAAAGTTTGCAGTTTTTACAGGTGCCTAAATCATGAGTTGGACTTTAGGACCATGCAAGACTTTTTTTTCCTTTAGAAGAAGAATTTGTTATTAGAAGAGAGACATAACAGAACTCTAACATGTAGTCAATCGAGTTGTAAATTAACCACACAGTGAGGTCTCCATTCCTAGTACCACCTTGGGGGAAGAAAAAGCTGTAACAACAGTAAGAGGAATAACAGAGTACTTAAATAAACTGAAATAATACATGTAATTGGGCAGGTTGAGTCTGAGATGGTAGCTTTTGGCACTCCAAGGCCACTCTCTACGATGTTTGGAAAGTGGGGACAATTCCAGTGACTAAAGGATAAAGAACTACATTAAACTTCAAGTAGGGCAAGCAGAAGGACTCACAGAGCTGCAGGTTAGTCAGCCTCACGTGAATCCTTGGCAGAATTAGACAGAAAGTCTTAGACAATATTTCCAGGTATATGGAAAACAAGTAGATGACTGGAAACAGCCAGGATGTCATAACCCAAAGGAAACCTGACCAAACTTATTGCCTTTTCTGGTGACTGAATCAGATGAGGGGAAAGCAGTAGATTTTATTTAGTTTGGCTGTAGCAAGAATGTTGAATCATCTTCCCATTTATTCCTTTTAGCCAAGTTGAGGACATACAGACTGTATAATACCAGGCGTTTCTAGCCAGGGTCAATTCCCAGGAACAGTTCAAGTTAGCCTAAACGAGTACTAACTAATCCTAGCAGGCAGTTTCCTAGCATTCTAGAGTGTGAGGAAGTTTCTTTTATGGATGTAGATTGCTATGTGCTAGTCACACTTAGTGCTAGAGAATGGTCCTAAGTATGTTGTGTTTATTAGCACAGATATACTTACAAAGGCCAAGGCAAATCATGAGCAAGAGAAATCAGAATACTGTGATGAAATAGTGATAGTGACTTGGGAGTTTAATGTCTTTTACTTGTAATCCTGACTTCACTAAGGAAAGAGACAACCAAGGAAGAGGGGAAAAATCATTATCCATGCCAAATTGTCCATTTTATAGCAAATAAAATGAATGATATATTTCTAATTTCAGACATTTTCAATTTTATTTTTGCAGACATTCTCCTAACAAATTTGTCATTTGTGCAACAAAATCTATAGAAACTCTCTATATATGAAAATTAAATACTTAAATATCCCTGCTTCTTTTACCCTGGAAGAGTAGAAGAAATGCCTCCTGTAGCTTTTTATGCCTCAGAAGTTGTACAGTACACTGCTCTATCTGATTCTAATACAGGGTTTAACAAAAATGTGAACATAATACTGCTTTCCCATCTGCATTCTTACAAATGTTGGCAAGATTTGTAAGAATATGTATTTTTTTTTTAATTGTAGCTGGTCACTGTGGTTCTCCAGATCCAATTGTAAATGGTCATATTAGTGGAGATGGCTTCAGTTACCGTGATACGGTAGTCTACCAGTGTAATCCTGGCTTTCGACTTGTTGGTACATCTGTCAGAATTTGTCTTCAAGATCACAAATGGTCTGGACAAACTCCTGTCTGTGTCCGTAAGTATCATTAATTTTTTGCTAGATTACTATTACTTCAATTGAATGTTAATAGAGGATGGGATTTGCAAAGGTCTTCTTTAACTGAAGTGCTCAAAGATTCACTGAATACATTTTAGATGAAAAGGATTCTTATGATCATCTAATCCACTTTCTAGTTTATAAAGAACTACATCAAGTAATTTCTCATCAAACCTATATTTCTGTTACTTCAGAAACGTGATTCTACACGCATTGGCATAGCAAATTACAGCAAATGAGCAGCAAATTACAAATTCTTAACTTCATATCTCTCTTGCTGTCTCCAAGCATAATTTCTATGTCAAGTGTGGACTCCCACTTTTTTCACCAGGAATACCAAAGTATCTTGGTATTTTCATTCTTTGGTGGGTAAAGCCAGAATAGTGTTGTTTTGTGCAGTTCTGGTGGTGCGTGTTCATTTTTCCAAAATTCAAAGTCCACTAGTCTGCCTCCTAATATTTACCAGTACAGTCAGAGGTCATAGTATTTGAATTATACCATATCCATTAGACATATTCCAAAGGATTTTTTTTTGCTTTTCAAAAAAAACACAATTAAGGACTTGATTTGTTGTGTCATTCCTACTATAGTTTCTTCTTTCTTTGGATGGCAGGATTTCTGGCCAACCAGACTTCAGACTACTTTCCTACATTTATTTATCTATTTATGTTTAAATTCTAGCAAATAAAAGAGGTTAAGCCATATTTGAGTAGGAAAGTGAAAGCATACTGTTTACCAATATTAGTAGTTGGCTCCTTAATGTAATACTGGAAAAATCTATAGACTGTGGAGTATGAATCAGAAGTTAGATAAGCATAAAGAGGTTATGAGCTGGGCAGCTGAGCTCCCAGAAAATTGCTGGAAACTGGATTACATTTTATGAGGTAAAACAAACAAACAAACAAAAACTTGCACATCTTTCTGTACTTTCAGTTGTCTCTGAAACAGGTTTCAAGGTTTTAACTCCTAATTCTTCAAAAAAATTCCCTCAGCAAGTACTGAGAGATCCTGCCACGCTGGGTCATCTTGACTTCTGGATTTCTTGTGACAATCAGTGTCTCCCATCTTGCATAAACTTTGACATAGAGGTGTTTCCCTACCTCCATTTAGAATAATCACTTTGGCCATTTTTTTGGACAAACACTTTCTGAAAGATCTTTTCACTGCTGGTTCCTTGGAAGTTAACATTGAAATGCAAAGATTTCTAAGTAGTTCTTTGTGAGTGACAGCCCAACAAAATTAAAATAGCAACCTTCTTTGCAACAAATACATGCTATATTAATGGTGATCAAAACATATTCTTAGTTATGTGGCATTCTACTTAGACCAAATTTTATTCTTCAGATAGTATTAGGATCTTGTGTTACTATTTATTCTTCTGGATTACATTTTTTCTGTGGTGGGATGAAAGTGTGCAGGGTCCAAGACTGATAATGTGTTAAAAAGGGGAAAACATAATTAAGATATTTTACATTAAACTGGGTAAATCTCTTTACAGTGTAATAGAGATGCTATAATGTCAACATTATATACTTCTCTCTCTCTCTCTCTCTGTTGAAGCATTGACCAGTCAATAGGTCAGTGATTTCGTGTAATAATAATGGAGCAGTGGCAGAACTAGATTCAGTGACTGGAGTCTTAGTAACTACAACATTTAGTTTCTGGAAGGTGTTACAAATACAGCGTCTCTCAAGAGTAATGAGCTATCAACAAGAACTGATTTATTGGTGTATACTTCTGTTGAAAAGGACAACAGAAGAGGAGTGTCCTTCATTATCAATTTTTATAGGAGACCTAAAATTTATATTGTAAGAGCCTGTGGTTTATCATTCATACAAGAAAGTTTAAGGTAATAGCATCTTTAAAATTTAATAGTTCTTTATATCGGAATGCTGTTAACCGATTTCCAGTGGCCCTGAATATTGCTTTATTGCAACTTCATTGTTTGTAACTCTTTAAAAGTAGAAGAGGAACAACGAGGCTAGAATAAAGTTATGTGCATATAGTCACATGTTACTTCGACATTTAGGATATCTGCAGCATTATTAGAATATTTAAGATATTTGCAGATATTAGGATATTTGCAGCATTTTCAAATTTCAAATGCTGCAAATTGGATGGTTCAGAAAGGTGTTAAAAAGATTTGCCTAGAGTTATTTGCTTAGTGTAAGACTGTGCATGAATCTGTGTACAGGAAGATGACTCATTTAATTCCAAAAGGTCATCTATTGTTAAAAGTATTATTTCATAATTGGACTTACTGAAAAAAAAATCATGTGACCGTAGGAATGAATGAATGACCATATTAAGAGTTTATTATTATAAATAGAGTATAAACATGATTAACACAGTACACAATTGAAAGAACAATGATTTCTGTATTGCTTTAAAAAATCTCATTAAAATTATAAATATATCAGCAAACTCAACAACTTTGAAGGATGGCTCTTGCTACCCTAATATTTTTGTATCATCTTTTATAAATGACTGAACTGATTATTTTGGCAGGGGGAGGCTGGGACAAATAGGAGTTTTTGGTTGGTTGATCGGTTTGTTTTTTTTTAAGGGGGAGTGGGGAGAGGAGTTTTGTTTTGAAAGGACATTCCTTTTTTAAGTAAGTTTTATTGCTACTTTAAATCAAATTTGTATTCTGTCCTGAATTCAGGAGGAGATGTTTCAGAAACCTTATATCAAAATCAATTTGTTTGGCTCTACTATATTTTGAACCTTGCAGGGGAAAACCAATTATTCTTTTACCTGAATTATTAGGAAAGACACTAAAGTCTCAAAGTAGTTCAGGGTATAATACATATAAGATGTGTCAAAATGCCAGATGTGATATATAATTGTGTATATTACACCTTTCTAAATTATATAGATTCAGAAAATTTTACGTAAAGCTGAATGTTTTCTCTTGCAGGTTAAAAATTCTGGATAAATGTATCCTATATTTTTTCAGTCATCTACATCAATGTAATAGATGGAAGCACAAATTCAGGGGAAAAAGATAGAGAATGAAAGAATTTCCAGCCTGCAAGGGGTTGCATAGAACAGTACCTGTCATTTAGATGTTAGACTGCTTATTTTTGCTTCAACAGCAATCACTTGTGGACACCCTGGGAATCCATCTCATGGAGTGACTAACGGCAGTGAGTTCAATTTAAATGATGTTGTAAATTTTACTTGCCACACTGGGTACTTACTTCAGGGAGCTTCTCGAGCACAGTGCCGAAGCAATGGGCAGTGGAGTAGCCCTTTACCCAGCTGCCGAGGTAGGAAACTTTCCTGTTCTCTACTCTATACTGAATTATTTCCCTCACCTTAAAAACACTGGGATGAAATTATGAAAACTGTCCTTTAAGACTTTTTTGTCTATTTTACATTTTCATATTAAAAAAATGGTTTAGCTGAAGATTAGTGAAGCATTCCTTGTCCAGTATTTGGCCTCAAAGTCCCCAAACTGCAATCTCTAGCATTTAGTATTACAGAAGTTATATTAAATTAATAATGTACAGTCAGATAACTACAATAGTGAATGAATATTCATGCATCAAAACAGTATTAATTATTCTTTATTACCTAGCAATACCTGAAGAATGTTCATAGCCTGTGTACACATGAAACTGATATTTTTGCCTAGAATAACCTGATACTATTAGATTTCATTCTGAATGTCTTTTGTTAAGAAATTGGTTCCAGTTATATTCTGTGTAAGATGGAGATGTTTGGGAGAGAAAAATGAAGCAATGGTCTGTGTATGAAGAAATCTGTGTATAAAATCACACATATAAGGGGGAAAAAAGGAACCCATTTTGGAAACACTGTAATTGCAGAAATACAAAGTTTTTACATTTCATTGTATCTTTATTGTTTATTTATGTTAATACTAGTAACAAAATCAGAATTAAAAAGAAATATCTGTTTACAAAGTAGCTACTTAAACATATTATTATGCTTGTCTAAATTAATTTTGTCCTAGTATTAAAAAATTATTTGGGGGAGGGGAAAACTTGTACAGTAACTTTTACTAATTCAGTATTATTCCACCTCCATTTAAGTAAAAGTTGGAGTTTTTATAGCCAAACAAATCCTGAGTTCTTCCATAAGGTTTTGTTTTGTTTTGTTTTGAACTGGTTTGAGATGTACATGAAATATTCCAAAACCTGTAAATGGGAGAATAAAATTGCCAGTAGTCTGCTTGTTTTTCTAGACTTACCTGAACTCCAGGAGACATAACATAATCTCATAAAGAAGTAAAAAAAGGATCTTTGAGACACATGCACCACCCTAAAATGTTGTATAGTGCTGGAAAAAAGAGAGATTACTAATTTATGCCACTGCCCAAGTCAGTGATTTGCTCATATCTTGAATATCATAACATGCAGTTCTGATCTTATAAAGAATGGTGAGAGATTAAGCAAAAGCAGCACCTGGGATCAAAGGAATGCAAAAGCTTTTTATGAGGAAATTGAGAAGTATCAGAGAGGAATTAACTAGCAGGCATGAAAGAAAATGATAGAAGTCTAAAAGCCAGGAGTGCCATGGAGAGAAGAAAAAAGGTTGAATTGCACCATTTTTTTCCAATGCAAAGTCTAAAGGACATCAAAATAGTTCAGTAGGAGATAAATCAGTTGAAAGTTACTAAATATATAGAGCCTCTATCTGGTTTAGGAATCCTTTGAGCTGAAGAGTTGGATGCTGTGATATTTTATAGGAAAATAATTATCAGATCAGGTTACCCTATTCTTGCTCTTTTTACTGTGGGCACTTTTTATTGATTTTCTTCAGACTTTGGCTGTTATTACAGAATATAGTGCTAATACCAAACCTTTGATCTGCTCTACCAGAAACTTTATCAGACAATTAATATCAGTCCACTGGACTAATACCTTTATGTTGTATGTCCCAAAATAATATGTGCAAGAGTAGGGAATGCGGTCTTAAAACTGAATCCATTTAGGTGCTGAGAATATTTAACAATGTTGTGAAGTGTTTTTTTATGAAACACTAAGATAAATTGATTATTTTCTTGTTATAAAACAAATGCAAATTGTCA